AGAAGGATTGAGATGTCAAGAGAATGTAAAGAGAAGCAGGGAAGGGACTGAGAGGTGGTGTGTAACTGGGAACAGTTAACACAAAGAGATAAGAAAGGGAAGTGCGAATCAGAATGCAGCAGATGAATGGGAATGGATTGGACAAGGGATGTTGGATAAGGAACCAAGGTGGAATGGGAGCAGAATTAGAAGTAGGTGGTCTAGGACACTGGGGTGAAGAGGGAAGGTTTGAAATGGTAGAGGTAAATAAATGGGGGCTATTAGGATCAGAATATCAAGGGCTGAAGTTTTAGGATAAAAGAGGAATAGAACTTGGGCAGGAGCCAAATGGTATGGAAAGAGTTATTAGAGACTGGGAAAATTTTGCTGGGGGAGGAGGGGAATCAGGTAGAAGTCCTGGCTGGAACAGACATTAATTAAGATTCCTGGGGGTGGGAGTGCACCCACGTGTGCATGCACGTAATTTCCTGCGTTCGTACTGCTCTGTGCAGAGAGTAATTACTTACTGGTAAAGTTAGTTATGCTGTGGCCTAGAGTTTGTCAGCTTGGCCATAATCATATGGATGGAAGTGTGAAGCCACCTGATGGGATTCCTGTTCTTTATTTGACTTTTGGGGGGAAAAGTCAACTACCAGTCATAGGGAAAATAATACACTGAAAGACGACTGCATGCTTGACTCTGCAGTCTCAGAGTTGAGAAATGTGAGAATCAGAGTATCTGCACAACTGAAATGATTTGGGATAGCGCAGCGCAGGCACTGCCAAGGCTCTGGTCTGAATGTGGGAGGTGGGAATGCTGGGCAGCTGTGTCTGCTGCTGTCACATGATACCGACCTGTTGTGTTGCGGGGGGGCTGTGTGTTTCAAGCTCTCAATTTTTTTATGATGTTACAAAATGGTTGAAAAATTAGATTTTCTTTCTGTCAAGTTGGAAAATAAAATATCAGCATACAAACCAGGCATTTTAGAATTTGTATTAAATGGGCTTGATTACATACAACTTTTCCTTAAGAGTGCATCTTGCATTCGCACTGTTAAAAAAGCAAAATTATCTATACTGGCACATCTGATTCCTTCCTGTTACAATGTGCTTCAAGACTTTATTAAGAGCCTCACATACCAAGTTTTTGCTTCTGAATTGGAAGGGAAAAATTAAATTTCCTATTTCAACTCAAAGTAGGCTTCATGTTTGTAACAACTGTTAAGCTGAACTAGTTTCACCAAGTATGTCGATAAACTTCTGTGTGCTTTGAGAAGAAGCTTTTAAAAGCTAGCTAAACATGTCAACATATTCTGGTTTCCAAGCCTTTATCAGATTTTCCACTTAGTGGACTAAAATTTCAGTAATTGGTTACTGTATCTTTTTTTTTACATTTTAAATATATTTGTTGATAGATTACAGAAGTCTATGCCTGCAAGTTGCCATAATTCTGCATGTAGTACTGTATTTAGGCTTGCTCAAGTGTTCTGTTTTAAATTTTATTGATCTTAAGACTGGTTCTCATTTGTAGTTCTGCTGTTAAAGAAACAAATATAGTAGAGATGGTCTTTTCAGACAGTTTAAAATCTGGCAGGCTATTACCATTATGGGGTTACAGAGAACACTGCTGTTAGCTAATGTTTGTGAACATGCCTTGTCAGAAATTCTAAATTGGAAAGACTAGAAATGTGGTGATTTTGTGAGACAATTAAATTGATAGTCATTTAGGGAAACTGGATCAGAAGCAGTCTAAGCTGCACCTGATTCACGCTTGTACTTTCAAGTCTTTCAGATCCACATATTAAAAATAATTCTAAAAATAATTTCTCAGGGCTTGGTTTGCAGCCGTTCTGAAGTTTTATGATTTCTTGTATTTTCATGTGGAAATATGATCCCCTTTAGCCTTTCCCTCAAGCGTCAGTGTTGAAGTTGTATTACTTTTTTTCTTTTAATATTTTTATCTCTGTGTGTGAACAAAATAACTTATGATGGACTCTCACTGTCTTAACGGTTAGATGTAGTGGTGTAAATAGTAGCTGAGTGCAGAATTATTCTTGCTGCGCTCCAGGGAATGAGTTTGTCTTTTGACAGTCAGTAAATATGCAGGAAGAATAAAGGGAAGATGTGAGTCAGCTTTTGTGACTAGAGTACCTTTTTTCCCACTGACGGTTTCAGAAGATTGTACACCTTTGCTCTTGTTGGTTTAAAAAAATATTTATCTCCTGATTCAACATAAAGGTTCAAGCATTAAAGGAACAGTTAACATCATGTTTAAGACACACAAAAATAATGCGGTACTGCTTCACATGGTAAGGGACGTGGAATTCTTTGTGGCAGTAGGTCGCTGTGTGAAATTGTGGGACTGACTGAAGAGGACTATGTACCTTTTATATTTGATTGCCAGTTTTTTGTTCCAGTCTAAATGTATGATGCATTCTAAAGTAAAATAAATCTGCCTGTAAACATTCACTGAAAACTTGATAGGTAGTTTGAAGAGAAATCTTTTAGAAACCGGCCAAATACAACATTTATACAACATGAAACAATTTCTTTGTGAATTTCAATAGCTTACAGAATAAAAACCCGGTGCCATGGAGCATGTACCAAATTTGAAGTCCCAGTCTCCATAATGGCGTAAGCCCTTCTGATGTCTGTGTAATGCTTTATTTTACTATTTGTCCTTACCTGAATAAAAACAATTCATAAGCAACAAACAAAAAAGCTGCCTAATCTAGCAAATACTTGTGTGGTTCTGTTGCCCTTTGGGATGTTCATACAGTCTGCCAGTGTGAAATATACTATGTTACTTAAGCAGTTCTCTAATAAGACAAAAAAGACAATAAAATCTGTTTTGTAGCACATTGTAATGCATAGTGTCTGCATCATAATTTTTTAGTATCTATTGCTTTAATGTTGGCAACCCTATCAGCAGCAAGGAGTACTTTTTTAATCCTTTAATTAAAAACCAAAAACTTCCAAAGTATTAATTATGCTAGCAAAAACAAAGGGAAAACATCACAAAAACTTGTAGTCCATTAGAAGGTGGAAGCCCCAGATTGTTAACTTGTGAATAAATATTGTAGAGTAGGTATGAAATGATAAAATATATTTTTCAGCAGTGGATACATCTTATATAAAAAGTTACAGTAAATATTTTACTCTTCTCCTTGTATTTCACTGAGAATCTGTTGAGTGAGATGAATCCAAAGTGAACAGTTCCAAGAGGCACATGTGTAGGAAGTTTCAAAACATTTTAATATGCAAAATCATATTCTGATATGTCATCACAGACTATTAAGCAGTAACAAATAATTACTGATGCATAAATTCAGCACAATCATAGTGTGCTTCAATAGATAAAATAACCTGACTTTATTACGGATTACATGCCATTAGACCGTTCAGGGTTTGGGGCTTTTTTTTTGGATTAATGTTATGTAGAAATAAAGATTGAGAAGCAAAGTAGAATCAGCCACTCAAAGCACTCTTGGGAACCAATGATATGTTGACTTCTGGGTTTTGTCTGATGACTTGCTCAATGAAGACAGCCTAGCTCTAGGGTTTTTTTAACACTTCTAATGTTTGTGTTTGATCTTGCAGAGCCGTTTGATGGGACAAACACTGCTAGAGCTGTACATGAAAAACAGAAGTTTGATATTATCAGAGGTGAATTTCTGAAGGTAAAAAGTACATTTAATTTTTCCAGTCTCCTTGGTTTTCAAGATAGTTATACAAATGCTAGTCACTGCACCTGCCTGTTTCTGATGTTTGTGTTACGAGTTTCTTTACGCTTTGTACTAGATAAATAATAGAAATGTATTTTAAAAAATGTGGAAAATTATTTACTGAGTAATTAAGTCTAATTATTTAGTATTATTAATTAGTCTAATTAATGTCTGCCACTAAGCATCAGGCTTAAGTTGAAACGGATACTTGAAATAGTAAACCCTTTGTCTTAGATTTTCTTGTACATGTAAAATTCTAATGATAGTTAATAACTTTAGAATTACAACTTTATCTTCATTCATTATTTCTTCTTACATTAATTTGACTAGTAATAAACAATGTTTTGTACTTCCTATCCCTATTTTATAAATATCACCACCAATGGTTTTCTCCTGGTTTTTGACTACTGAATTAAATTGGTGCTTTTCTTTAGTGAGGCAACACTCATAATTTTAGAACATGAAGAGTTCAAACTGGAGCTTTCACTGTTCCAGTCAGTGGAAGGGGCAAGGACACTTTGAAGCAAGCAAAGATTTAGGCCTTGGTACTAACTCTCTTTTATGCTTGCCTCCTATCATAGGCATTGCATTTGGATTTACAGCTCAAATGCTAGTTTTCCAAGATCTCTGACTATTCGTAATGTAGTTATCACTAGGGATTGGTGTGCAGAATTGGTTTCCAGCTTTAACCAGTTAGACTCCCCTGTTACGCTGTCGTTGGAGGCTCCTGTTCACTACAGTTAGTCAAGTCCCTAAATATCTCGAGGGCTTCTCCATCAAAAAGGAAATCAATGCCAGATACTTGAAATAAAACAAAAGCTATAACGTGCTGCCTTAGTCAGAAAAGCATAACTTTTTTACTTTGTAGTTCTGTTCAGAAATGTCAGTTTCCATTTAACCATGTTAGCATACAAAATCCTGAACTGTTCACATACCTTTACATAAAATACTTGATTTTGTGAATCTGCTAAAGTAGTGGTTTACAAAGTATTTTGGGCTTAGTCACTGTTCTGTGAAATCAGAGTGAACTTCTCTTTTCAGAGTTTCCAGTTAAAAAATTGGTTTCAAATCTGAGTGATTTTCTGAAAAAAGTAAAAGCAGGTTTTGATCCTAGCTGTCTGGAAGCCTATATACTAGAGTGTTATGACCCTGAAAAAATTTACTTTTTACTAGGAACCATAAGGAACGACAGTTACTTAAAACTACAAGTACTTATTAATATCTTGCACTTTTTTTAGGAAGCCTAAGGAATCTCGTTGTCTCATTGCCCTTGAGAGATTATTCTTCCTGTGGTTTTCACTACACATTGTGGTTTAAGTGAATTTCATGTAAAGACAGGGGGGTCACTGCAATTATTTGCAGGTTCATGGCATAACAGATGTGACAGATGTGTCCTGGAATTCACACTAGAATACATAAGAAAATTGAAATAACCTATTTTAAAGACACGATTAAATTCTGGAGATGTCAGAGTATAACATCTTGTATCAGGAACTTTGACGTGTGTGAATTTGAGACAATTATTTTGCAGTCAGAATATCAATGTAATGTTAACTTCTCAGTCTCCACAAATCCACTGTCTTCTTAAATGGCTGTATCTTCCTCAATATTCCATGGTATTTTGTGTACCTTTTGGATTTTTTCCTCCCTTAAAACAAAAAAACAAAAAAACAAACACAAACCCAAACCCCCTCTCTTTTCAATAAGGGGGAAAATATCAACCTTATTTTTGTGGGTCTGTGAAGCTTACTGCTTACAATGGTATTTAAGTACTAATAACAGAGGTATTTAGCCTTTTAAAACTTTGTACTTTTTTCCCCAGTCTTGGCAGGTGTTACGGGACAAGAAAGACCTGAACTGTATATTACCTCTAAGAGCAACCATGCAGAA